CTATAATTGATAGTGGAGTAGATGTTAGCTGCATTCAAGAAGGTTTAATACCTACAAAATATTTTCAAAAAACTACTCATATGGTTAGATCTGCATCCGGACCTGCTTTAAATATAAAGTATAAACTTCCTAATACGGGCATTTGTCAGAATAAAGTCTGTATTCCTCACTTTTTTTTCTTGGTTAAAAATCAGTTATACCCTCCTATTATACTTGGAACACCGTTTATTAATGCCATTTATCCTTTTACTAGCATAGACTCGAAAGGTTTTACTGCTACTTATAAGGATAAAAAGATAAGTTATACTTTTGTTACAGATCCAGTAACCAGAGATATTAATGCTTTAATTGATATGAAGCAGAAACATATTGATTCTTTGCAATTAGAATTGTTTAGTATGAATATATTTGATACTTTGAATTCCACTAAAGTACAGAATTTCCGAGAATATTGCTATTGATATTTGTGCAGAATATCCCAGTGCTTTTTGGAATAGGAAAAAGCATATTGTCACTCTGCCTTATGAAGATAATTTCTCTGAGGATGATATTCCTACTAAATCTCGACCTTGTCAGATGAACGCGGAATTAGTGAAATTCTGCAAAAAAAATTGATTGATAATTTGTTACAAAGGGTTTTGATAAAACCCTCAAAGTCTCCTTGGTCTTGCACAGCTTTTTATGTTAATAACGCAGCTGAAAAGGAACGTGGTATTCCTAGATTAGTCATTAATTATAAACCCTTGAATAAATATTTGAAGTGGGTTAGGTATCCTATTCCCAATAAAAGAGATTTATTGTCTAGATTATATGATGCCAATATATTTTCAAAATTCGATTTAAAATCTGGATATTGGCAGATTCAAATATTTAAAGAACATACTTACATAACTGCTTTTAATGTTCCATTTGGGCAATATGAATGGAATGTTATGCCTTTTGGTTTGAAGAATGCCCCTTCTGAATTCCAAAAAATTATGAATGATATTTTCAACCCCTATCTAGACTTTATCATTGTTTATATCGATGACATTTTGGTATTTTCCAAAACACTTAAAATGCATATTAAGCATTTAGATATTTTCAAAAGAATTGTTATACAAAATGGTTTGGTTATCTCAAAACAAAAAATGAGTTTATTCCAAACTAACATTCGATTCTTAGGACATTATATTTGTCAAGGAAAGATTACTCCTATTCAAAGATCGATCGATTTTGCTTCAAAATTTCCCGATGTTATTACTGATAGAACTCAGTTACAAAGATTTTTGGGAAGTTTAAATTATATATCACCTTTTTATAAAGATTTGTCACGTGATTTAGCTCCCTTATATGATAGGCTAAAAAAGGATTATAAAAACCCTTGGACTGATAGTCATACTACTTTGGTTAAAAATATTAAGCAACGTGTTAAATCTTTACCTTGCTTGACCCTTGCTAATCCTGCATGACAAAAGATTATCGAGACTGATGCGTCTAATATTGGTTACGAAGGGATTTTGACCCAAATAAATCCCAATAATAAGCATGAATATCTGATTAGATTCTACTCTGGTAAATGGTCTGAAGCCCAGAAAAAATACGTTACTGTGGCACATGAAATGTTAACCATAGTAAAATGTATTTTAAAATTTCAAGATGATTTATACAATCAAAAGTTCTTGATAAAAACGGACGCACAATCTGTTAAATATATATTTAACAAAGACTTTAAACATGATGCCTCAAAAATGATATTAGCAAGATGGCACGCTCAATTAGCCCCTTTTGATTTTGAGATACAATACAAAAAGGGAATTGATAATTCTCTGCCAGATTTCTTATCTCGTGAATATTTACAGGATGGAACCCCCCGGGGTAGGGGAAGAGGTAGAAGTTGGGGAAGATCATCCCCATAGTCCAGAGGAAGATCATCACCTTCAGGATCGTCATACGGATCCACATCAAACTTTTCAGTTATACAAATGGGAAAAAAGAGTTTAACCAATGAGAGGATATCTCTCAGAGAAGAATCATCGATCGGACCATCCGTCCATCTGGAAGATATTTCAGAAGATAATCCGTTATACCCACATTTGCAGGCATATTTGACTGCTCAAAAATAGAAAGATACTTCTGCTAAGCAAAGTGATACTTTTGCTTCCATTACAAAAGATGACAATGATGATATCAAGTCATATGAGAAAGTGTCGAAAAAAGAAATGATATTTCTTTTAGAAAATTCTGATATTCAGAGAAAGGTAGAGCCATGGAAGATATTCCAAAGATATTTAATAAATAGATTGTATTATCCGGGTGAGTCATACAAAACCCGCTCCTATTATAAAACAATACTCACCAGTACTGGCAGTGCAGAGTTTCAGCACTTTTCTGGTTATAGCACAGACGAGAACGTTTATAATTTCTCTAAGATTATAATTAAACAGATTATATCTGTTGAAAACTGGGGTATATCCACAATGAAAGAAAGGCAGATAAGCCTTAACAAATCTCGAATGAATTTTACCTATTGAGATTATATCCAGGCATTTGATAAAGTGTTATACTACAATAATGATCGACACAAACATATTTGGTTTATTAAAGTATGTGTAAAGATATTTGCAGAGGCTATTTCTAATTGGTTTCTAAACTGGTGGTCATACCACAGTCCGACAGTAAAAAATTTACCTGATCTATTTCTCATGTTATAAAAAGAATGGATAAAAATTTCCCCCTTTATAAACAATTTATATCACACAGATCATATCTGTTACCCAGAAAAAATTGACCAGATTTATTTCTTTCTGGAATTCTCTATTCCTTGGATTCATAAATGGACTCCAAAAGTTGGATTCACTGAAGAACAAGTCCTATGCTTATACAAGACCTTTTACAACAACTTTTGGGATAAACTAATGAAAAAGGATCCCAAAACGAAGACATTATATGGTCAAGAACTCTTAGATTCAATCAAAACAAAAATCCAAGAATATTCTAGTAAACCTCAGAAAGAGGTAATTGATGACAGCTCAGTACGGCATATTGCCAGAAAGATCTCCTTTCAGGAAGGAGATAAAGAAGAAATGATTAACAACTACTTGGAAGAAGTCAAAAGAAATTTACTTCGTTCCATTAATTAATATGAGAAATCAGATACTTTTATGCAAAGTGAAACCAACAATGATGATATCGCTAAAGATTCTCAGCCCTTTGAATCAGAGAAAATACTATCTGATGAAGATTTGCAGAATGCGGAAGAATTCCTCCGCAAAATAAAAGAATCAGACAAGAGACCAGCACCGTGAAACAGCTAGACCCCACAGCACAGTGAAGCCGTCAGACCCCACTCAAACACTAGATACACTGTTCATCAACAGTAGAAATACTGTTTTGTATAGTAAAAAGACTGTAACAGGGACCCACGGGACCCACTTTTACTGTTCATAGATTCTTTTCTTTTCTATTTATACGTTTCATTCGTTCAGAAGAAAGAAGAAGGAAGCGAGACCCTCTCTCTCTAGAATTCTCTCTCTCTCTCTTCAAAGTGTAATTAAGAGTTTGTAATTTGTAGTTTGAAAACAGAAGAACAAAGTAAATAAAGTTTTCAGTTCTTCATCTTCAAGCCTTGCATCCCGGCCAAAGGGTACTGATTTCTTTCTTAGTTAGTTTTTCTTCTACTCTCTCCTCTCTGGCCGTGACGATGTCCGGCTAAGAGACTTCATATCTATGTTGAGTATCTAACTTCTCTCCTATATAAACCATGAAAGAGACACATCTATTTAAATATAAATGAACTTTATATATAGAGTTTTGACTTGGTGTCAAGATGGTTGGTACAGTCTAATGTAACACTGCTCTTATTGGCTTTGCCTTAGTGGCTTCGTCTAGCCAGTCGTGAACCTCAGCCCGATAAAGGAGTTAAAAAGGGCATCTTCTTTCACGGTTAGAACTGCTAGACACATGGGCTCAATAAAAGTATGTATTATATTATGACAGACCCCTTGCTTGAGTAAAGGTTTTTAACCTTCCATACAGTCATTAAACTATATATAAAATTCAAGTATATTTCAATTCTTATATCCTTACTGATTGTGCGGATCACTGCCAGTCTTTAAATATAAGGATACTGAATTAGCTAGATTAAGAATTCTCAAGTATGTTAAAATAGAAATCTTTAACTGGTGGAAACCTCGGTGGACATATAAATGTCAGCAGAGGTGCGAAACAATTTCAGTTCCCGGTCAAACGGTGATTTCTGTTTTAGCTTAATTAAGAAGGCAGTGCGGATTACCGCCCGCCACTTGATCCTGTTAAAATGATATATACATCTTATATAATATATACATCTNTATATATATATATATATATATATACATCTTATATCGATATACTATATATACATCTTATATACTATATATATTCGATATTAAATATTGAATATTAAAATTTAGGTCACAATTCTATAATAAAATTTACAAAGCATTATCTAAGATATTTTTTTTAACATCCTTTTGTCTCTAATATCTATTTAAATTTTTTTTTTAAAAAAAATATGTTGAGCCCACTTAGCCCACTTAGCCTACGGGCCGGGACCGTTTAGTCCGGGACCAAACGGTCCCGGGTCCGGTCCCGGGCTGGTCCCTACAAAAAGCCTGTTTGGTCCGGACCCATTTGGCCCATTTAATTTAGGACCGGCCCGGGCCCGGGATCGTTTGGACCGGCCCACTTGGCCCGTTTAGGCCCGGGACCGGCCCACTTGCCAGCCCTAATATCGCCACAGATCATTAGCGGCGACTCTGGGTGCAACCAAAACCTGACTTTGGTGGCTACTAAAAATTACATTTTAGTGACAACTTGGTATTGCCACCAAATCGACATTTTTTGTGGCATCAAAATGTCGCTACTAATTATATTTTCTTTTAGTGACAGTAGGTTATAATCGCAAAAGCTCTTATTTTTCGTCACAACACAAGTTTTCCATAAAAGAAAATATAAAACTACAAATATTTGTACAACCCGATAATAATTCTCAAAATAAAGAATTGTAGTCTTTTTAATGTTAAAAAGTCTACACGGTCAAAAGTAGTCAATGTATATACAATGCCATTTCACGAAGTATCTTGTCCATAAAAATATCTTCAAACTACACCTTGAGCAACTTCACTTCCTCGTTCTTGAAGTATCTTGTCCTTGCTATTAAAAAATAAAGATGAACATCATTAATATACGCATATGTACATAAAAGACTGTAAGTTTGAAGAGAAAATTAGCCGAAAAGAGCGAGAATAAGTAAAGCAAAGAAAGGTATTTCTGAAAAAATTTTAAACCCCCACAAGCAATAACTTTTTAAAGCATGAAAACATCAACCTTGCGGTGTGAGATGCTTAGTCTAAATTATTATAAAAAATTTCAATCAGTGTGAGATGCAATTGATACTTTATGAAATTCAGTTATCAAAACCAAAACTAATAATAATAAATCTGAAGTGCACGAATTGAATTGAATGCACATAGTCGTATTACATAATCTTTGTCCAAATTGTTGAAAGTAACACGACAACGTAATATTTGATTAAGAACCTACTGAAACCATCTATAATGCACAATCAATCACCGGTCAATAAAATAACATAATTGAATTCTATGCAGTCAGCCACCTAACAATGATTTATTCATTCCCTTGATATGGTGAGTAAACACACACTTCACATGATCACCAAAAAACTACTTATGCATTGAGCAGAGAGGGACATGTACTAGCGACCAAAATGGCCACAGATAAATTTGAGAATTTCTTAGTAATTAGTTGGTCCCCATAGCGTCTAGATTGGTTTTGTCAGCAGATTTAGCACTCAACAAAGCAAAGGGGGTTGTTTTCTTGAATGTGAAAGGAGAGGGCGGGGACAGTGGAGTCCCCATGTATTTGCTTTTGAATTTAGACATTGTGCTAAGTTTAGTTTCAAAAAAATGGATACATATAAAATGAAAAATCAGTATATAGTCTGTCACTTTTTAGGTAAAGGTATGTTTCTTTCTCTAGAGTAGCTTTATAGTAGTATTATTGTCCATGTCTTAGTAAATGTAAGAAAATGACAAGAATAATTGCTATGTCCAATCTCCACTGATATGAAAAATGATCAAGTTAAATTAGTAGAAAAAGAGAACCATGTCATATACTCCCAAATCTAAAAGAGCAGAGTCTAAACATTCTAACTAGTGCTTTTAACTGGAGTAGTTAATTGTTCTTACTAACTCTTGATATTTAAATTTTAATAAGAAAAGCTACTTAATTACAGAATGGACTCAGTAGAAATTCTTATATATGCTTATGTTTTCAATGATAACTCATTCAGTTTTAATAAAATATAGAGTAAAACTGATTTCAAGAGAAATCCCTACCAGTTGCATTCTGATCAGCCATGCATCCATCTTTTCTTCAAACTTTTTGTCAACATGTAAATCCATCCGTGCACGCTCAGCAATAATTTGTTCTTCTAGCTTACTTTGCAACTCAGCAACCATTTCTTCTTCTAGCTTGCTTTTCAACTCGGCAGCCATTTGCGCACGTTCTTCTTGTAATTTTCGATCCATTTCCTCTTGCATCTCTTGACGCATTCTTTCCATTTGAGAAGGCATACTCACCTCTAAGTCTACCTGCTGCAAACTGCTTTTTTTTGTAGGCTTCTTTCCATACCCTTTTTCACGAACATAGCCAGTTCGTTGGCCAAGTACAGTGGCTAAAATCTCATCTGCACTCATTGGCTGCTCATTTTCTTCAGATTGTTGTTGAGTTACAATTTTCTTGAGTTGGCCCTACAAATATGTATGAATTTATAGTATAAAATAGGAAACATATAATAAAATAACAAAATAATTATTCTAAGAAATTACATGAATTTGTTGCGACGGTGGATCCGATCACACTATTTCTCCTTTGTCATCCTTACGAGTATGTTGGAGCTCCCAAACTCGATCTGGTGCTGCTTTGTTTCCACTAACATGATCTCTCTAAAATATATTTCAGTAGTGGAAAATATTTATAAGCACATAATATGTTATAAATTAATGACGAATAATTTTATAGTGATTGTGGTAAATGCATTTACCGTCGATTCCTCCACTTCGACAAATAATTTTGAGCCACAAGAGTGCTTAGTTATCTGTTTTCCCCTATTAAGTTTGTTCCTCTCACTTGCAGCCTAGCAATTAAATCAATACATAAGAACCAATAATTAAATATTGATTTATCAAGAATTTTTATTACAACGTTACCTTGAATTTCGGACTCCCAAAAAGTCTTACAAGAAACACCCAATCCTCAGGCGGAACATCATCCGGCCTATGAGACAATCTCTCTTTATCAGTATTATAGAGATTGTATTCTTTATGCAATCGAGTCTTCCATGCTCTAAAAAGCCTTCGCATAGTATCAACAACAAGAGCTTGCAACACATGTTCTCGCATACCACTAACTTCAAATTTATCCTAAAACAAATATGTAAAGCATAATTATTCATATTCTCCATATTTGTAACTCCACAAGCATCATGAATTATTTCTGGAATATCATCTGTTTCAACAGTATCATCATCTACTTCGACATTGCATACATTATTAGAATTTTTAACTCTTACTAATACTTCTCCATGCAAGTCCCACACTTTATAACTGTCCTAAAAACCTTTCCCCACTGAGTCTCTTCTTACTTGGATTCTTGTCTTGAACGCAGTATTTCTACACCCTTACAAGGACACTGAATTACAGAGCTCACATTTGGTTGACTGTATGCCCAACCAAGAAAGTCATCTATTCCTTTAATATACCTTCTGTCATATCTATCCCTAATATTCAACCAACTTTTATCCATATCTTTTCTACAAAAAGAAATGCAATCAATTAACCAATTAAAGGGAATCAATAATTAAAGCAAACCAATTATAAGCAAGTATTGAACTCAATAATTCTACACGAGTAGAAATCAATAATGGAAACACAAGCTATATAAATAATGTTTGAACTGAATAATTCTACACACATACACACACTAGGATATAGGACATCAATTTTTTTATAATAATGAGAATACATTAGATATGCTAAAAAATAATTAAATACCATAAAATGATCTTATAGAAGACAAGTCCCCAAAAAAATTAATTTAATTGTCATGTAAGGTTAGACTAAGTTTATTTTCCCCTTCTCAAAAGGTGAAGAACCACTTGTCTAACTTTAAATGTCATGAATGAACTCTCATTAAGACTCATAGTTCAGAAGACGATTTAATATAGAATTCGTTAAATTAACACATTTAATCATTTTGTATTATCGGTAAAAATAAAATAGATTAGTTAATGAAATTTCAATGAAGACAAACTGATAAAGAACATATATTATAAAATATAGGGAATGAAACTAATACTCAGGCAACTCCAATTTGGCCCAAGAGTCGAGCTTTGGCCAAAATTTCTTAAGTTAAGACCCATGCAAATCATAAATCATACAAAGACATACCAAAAGAAATAGGTATCTCGGAGAGATTCACCACAAAAATCAGCCTCTGACTTTTTTTATTTCCTAAAAGCATGATATCTGATGAAATTTGGCTTATATCAATTGCAGAACACAAATGTAGCACTGACTTATAATTACTAACTCTCAAGACATTAGGAAAATATATAAGACACTCTTAAGTTATAAGTATCCTAATGACATGATATCTGGGCTTAGTTAGACATTGAGGCATGTTCATGTAGTAGAGATTTTACAATAGCAAGGAAGATTCTAAGCAAAATTCGGGTAAAATTCATGAGTTATCTCACTACACCTGGAATCCACCAACTCAAAATTCATTAGTTCGAACCTAAATATGGCAAACGAACTCTGGTAACAAGATCAAATCACAGAGAGCAAGCATATATCTTTTGGGCATAATCTTTTCATTTAAAGAAGTACCAAATTAATCTTTTGGTCCTAAAGGCATGGTGTCCTAAATAAATAAATTTATTACCTATTTGGTTATGCCTAAGTCATGATTTCTGGTTGACAGAATACTTTGAACGAATCTGAACTGGTCAAACTAATGATAGTTCTACAATCAAGTTCAACAATAAAGTTGAACTCAAGCAACAAATAATTCCTAAACTGATTGAGAAGAAATAGCTTACTAATATCCTTTAATAAAACCTCAGGAAATCAAAAAAACAATACACCTTCGTTGGGTTCTTCAGCGCAGCAGGGTAAAAATCGCCATTTGGGTGAGAATGGTCACTTGGATTCGTCGATTTTGTGTTCTGGCTTAGGGCTTTTTTGAAGAGAGAATTTCCATTTGGCTTTTGAGATTACAAATTGGTCTCTTGAGCAGATCTCTACCCTTTTGAGTTAGGGCTACTTTTGAGTTCTCTTCCCTTTTTGAGCGTGAGAGATTTTTGAGAATTGAGAGCAAATTCTTTTAACTTTAAAAAGTAGAATAAATAACTTTATATATTTCTAAAGTGTTTGTATTTTAATTTATCCTTGTAACTTTAAAATGAAAAGAATAGTGGCGATCAAATTGCCACAAAGTCAACGAGCTAACTTTTTGGCGCCAAATTTTCTCTCTTAGCGGGAAAGTAAAATTTTGTCATGTAACTATAGTGTCTTTTCCGTGGCAACCTATTATAGTCGCCACATATAACTTTACCTTTCTATTGCGATTTGCTAGAGCCGCCACTAAATCCCTAGCCTTTGTGGCGATTAGTAGAGTCGCCACTGATACCTGCCACTAAAAATCCTTTTTCATGTAGTGTATTTACGGCTTTGTTTTCTGAAAATTAAACCAAGTGCGTCCACTGTCTAATCCAAGTTCCGACGAAATACCGGCAGTGAATTTCTTGAATTCTATAAGTAGCTGAAAATCATATAACAACTCAGAAGTCACTAAACCAAACAGACATTCAGTCTCTTAAACGAATGAATTGGGATATGAAAACTAGGAATCAGGAGTAACATATACGCCATGTTTCTCGTTGTCAATGCGTTGAGTTCAATTTTTAATGGGCTGGGGCCTCGGGTCATGAAAACTAGGAAATGCAAGATTTAGTTGAGATTAAACGTATTCTTTGTCGAAAAGGAATTTTTTCGTATATATACGAAAATTTAAACTTATTTACCCACCTTATTTAAGTTTTTCTATTTGCAGAAAGTAACTTAAGTTCTTTTTACAAAATATATACAATCCGGTCAAAATTTACAATTTATCTACAACTTAAATACAATTCTTTTTTTTTTTATAGAATTCAGTCAAAAACTATAATTTACATATAATTTATATACAACTTATATACAATTATGTTAATTGTATTTTGTGTACGCCTTTTCTACACCCTATATACAAAATATATATAATTTATTTATGACTTTTTCGAGTTTCAATCTGAAATTCTAACCTAAACCATCTCGAATCTTCACCAAAATCTCTCAAAATTGAGATATAAACTTTAAAAGATATTTTCATTCATTTGCAACAATACCCAATTCAAACAAATAACAATTTCACAAAATTTGATTTTTGAATTCAAAGTTTCAAAGCATTATAATGGCTGTCAATGGAGATTAATTTTTAATATATGTCATTTTTTTACTGTTTCAAAATACCTAACCTAACAGATTCATCTAATTACTGGCACGTTGTTGTTCAAGAATTTTTTTAAGCTTCGCACAAAGATCTGAAACTGGCATTTCTTTAACCGGAGAAGCAAAACGAAAACTTTTCTGGGAATTTAGTTTCTTCTTAGACCCAATTATTGCTAAATGTTTCAGTTAGACTCCCTCCTTTATCATCCAACAATGACTACTATTGGATTAACTTGAAAATTCGACTGATTCGATTTTTTAGAAGATACCTGGGGATTGTAAGCAAGAATTAATTAGGGAACACTTAATTAATACTAAAAATATATAAAATTGATAATTTATATACGAAGTTGTAATTAAGTTAAAACCTTAATAGTGGGAGTAAATAAGTTTCAAAATTAGTATAGATAAGTAAACATTTTAAAGAAAAATATGAGATAGTGGGGTTTAAAAATAAATTACTCTCCCTTAATTAGTACTCCTTTTTATTTTTTGTTTCCTCTTTGTTAAACAATATTACTATTTGAAGATTTAAACAAATTATGACTAAGATTCTTTTTCATTTTAACTATAAAAAATTGTGATTACACTTTATGCATGCAATTTTAACATAAGTGGAGTAATTTATTTCAAAAGATAAAAAATTGATGTTCAAATTGACATTGAAAATTTGATAGATTCTCCTCGTTTCTTTTATATTTTCATGTGCGCATAATCTGTCATTTTGATTTCTTTTTTTCATTGAGCAAATTGTTCAAAGTGAATTACAGGAAGGAAACAACGATCAATTAAAACAAACAAGTTCATGAATTGTCAGCATAAACATGCCTTTATTCTTCAATCTTCACTTTCTACAATCAGATGGGACATTGGCTAGCTTCAAATGGTGAATATTCTCACATACTAAGCTTAAAACATAAAATTAAAGCTTCGGCCAACTTCAAATTGTTATTTTTTTTTTGGTTTTTTTTTTTCACTTCCAATTATTCTTCAATGCGGCAAATTTATTGGATCAGATACCACCTCCACCGAAACCTTCTCCTATTCCAAAGCCATAACCGCTACCACCATTCTCTCCGCCTCCGCCACCACCGCCGCCGCCTCCGCCGGTACCATCTAAACCTGATCCCTGACCGCTACCGAAGCCAAATCCAAATCCTGAACCAAATCCACTAGTAAAAGCTCCACCTCCTCCACCGCCACCGCCTCCTCCTCCTCCACCAGACCCTCCTACAATTTGGGCACCTAGTCCGAAGCCATCTGCTGCAGGGATCTTGTAGTCAAAGATTGTAGCTACTGCATCTCCCAGGAGCTTCCTAGCTGAAGTGTCACGTACAAATACCCCCACAACAATGAGAATAATGAATGCCTTTGAATGTGGTGTCACTGCACGCAAATAACATCCATCATAAGTTTTTATTTTCGAAGCTTTAAAAATAATGAGATTAGTAACATGTAAAATAATATAAATTATGTGCTACAATATGAAAATTGCTCTCTAGGAGATACGATGCTCGAATTTGAAGCTGATAAGTTTGGGATTCTAATTTTTTTAAGTTATTGAGTTGTAAATTAATAATTTGTACATATTTAATGAATTTTTTTAGACAAATATGAAGTTTGAATCAAAACAATTGAGTTCGGCCGAACATATAGGTTGTATTTCTACGTGTTTTTTATTCAGTGTACAAACACACATGACACTTTTGTGTTCTAAAATAATATGACAAATAGGACACTGTCATGGCAAATTAACTACCAATCTGAAACACGAGTAAAAAAAAATCTAGATTTTTCACTATTTTAAAAAATCAATTTTAGAGAAATATGAGGAACTCACTGCTATATGGTTTAGAAAACCAAAAACAAAGAGACTTACAATAATCAAGTACTACAATTTCTTTGTAGACGTAAGCATCATTAGTTTAAGGAAAAAAAGGTTTAGGAATCCCTTACTTTTCATTCTTCGTGTCTGTAATTCTGTGGAAGAGATAAGATGGTTTTGCAAGATAGAATTGTACAAAGTCCCAGGAGTTTAAATACTAGAGATAGCTGAAGATGTGTCATAACTCATAAGCTAAATTCTCGCTAATTAATGCGATAACATAAAACTGAACATCTTAGAGAAAGGTTATGAGTTATGACTCGCCTCTGTAACAGTAATATTTAATTAATGGGTGAAAATAATGTTCCCATGACCCCTGTTTAATATTTAAACTTCTAAAATTTGAATAGCGTACATTATTTTCCTCTTGACTAATTAAATATCTAACGGTTGACCAAACCTACAACTCTATAATGACTAAATTTGCCTTTTAATATTTCTTTACGCATTTTACGTTAATACTTGACGTAAACTCTGAGACGAACATAATTGCTAGAGTTCTAGAATAATCTATATTGTATTTTTATAATATAAAAATACACATCCAGAATAATGGCTTGAACAATATATAATTTCTTAATTCGGTTTTAAGAATATTTATCTACTACATGCAAATGATGACCTGAATTTCAAAATTACTTTTCGGTTCACTTAGCATATTAATATAACATAGAGTATTCGTTTATGTGATAATTGTTCTGAATTTTCTTATCCTTTTAACTTAATCTAAAACAACTAATAATAATAAAGCTAACTACATAAAATCTAACTTTTAACGTTTTAACACTTGTAGACACTGAAGATTTCGGGGAAATTGGCAATTCATTTTAAGTACACTTACAAATTACAATTGATATTGTCAATTTTAAGTTTCTGACTTCACCAAGTTTGATGTACATACTCTTAATCCTAATTAAACTAAAAAATATAATAAAGTGATCAGGTAAGCTAATCGTGTATATAATTTCATGTAAATATAGCCAATTAGCCATTTTCAGAGCCGGCTCAACGGCTTGGCAAGTAAGCTAGGCATATGCTCAGCCCCCCAATTTTCGAGGGGCCCCATTTTAAAAAGGAATCTTCTAATCTTGGAGTTGAGGGTATGAACCCTGAATATATGTATTTCGTGAATTGTTGGGAGATGACGCACATGCTAGGTGACGAGCGTGTGGGCGTGCACTATAGAAATTGTGATATAATTGTTTCTGTAGAATTTTATAGTTAAATGATCTTGGCATTGTCCATGCAGTTTTATGAGTTAAAGAAATTGAGCTGAAAAGCATATTAAAAATCATGTTGAGGCTATGTGCCAATATTATTAGGACCCATAGAGGTCATATTGCTGTGAATTATTTATTTTAAATTAAAAATTCATATTTAGTCATATTCATTTCATTGCATATCATATCTCAGTCTCTGTTTTTATTTATTGATACATCATATCATCATTTTGGGCTATTTTTATGACATTGTGAGCCCGAGAGACTGGAGAGATTGATGTCTGAGTGAGGCCGAGGGCCTGATTGTGAGGATTATTATGGAACGGAGCTGCCCGCCTGCAGCATGCTTTATATACTTTATTATTATAGCACGTGAGTTGTCCGTGCAGCAGGTGATGTCCGTGCAGATTATAGCGCTTGGGCTGAAGGAGCCCCTCCGGAGTCTGTACACAACCCCAGTGAGCGCAGGTACCTACTGAGTGCGAGTACCGAGTGCTGAGTGACTTGAAGGTATGCCCGAGTGGCATGAGTGACTGTGAGCCCGAGAGACTGGAGAGATTGATGTCTGAGTGAGGCCGAAGGCCTGATTGTGAGGATTATTGTGGATCGGGGCTGCCCGCCTGCAGCATGCTTTATATACTTTATTATTATAGCACGTGAGTTGTCCGTGTAGATTATAGCGCTTGGGCTGAAGGAGCCCCTCCGGAGTCTGTACACACCCCCAGCGAGCGCAGGTACCTACTGAGTGCGAGTGCCGAGTGTTGAGTGACTGGGAGGTATGAGTGATTGTGAGGTATGCCCGAGTGGTATGAGTGACTGTGAGGTATGCCCGAAAGGCATGAGTGACTGTGAGGTTTGCCCGAGGGGCTGTATATGAGTGATGTTCTGCCCGAGGGACTGTTTATGATTTTATCACTAAGTTGCATCGCATTGGCATGCACACATGACATACATGCATAGAGATGTATTTTCCTCATGCCGTACAACATCACATCATTCCTGATTTCTCACACATTTTGATAGATGGGCATAGTGATGCATTTATTTTACACGGGTTATCCGGAAAGAAAATGAAACATCTTATTTATTATTGAAAAATTTTTTGGAGAAATTTATTGTTTTCAAACTATTCATATTTTTGGAAACTTCGGCAAATGGTTTGGGTTTTCACGGATGTATTTGAAAGGAAGAACTATTATTTTCTAAATCATGATTTGGCTGAGCATTTCATCTTTGATTTACTTCTAGTATTATTTGCTTTATGTTGTTATGGACTGTTGTGGACTATTGGTTATGGACCCGACCTTGGTGGAAGCTCGTCACTACTTTCACCCTACTGCTAGGTTTGTTACTTACTCAGTACATGGGGTCGGTTGTACTGATACTACACTTCTTCACATTGCGTGCACATGTTAGCTGTTGTTGTTGCTGTGCCCGATAGTTGCAGGATTTGAAGATGTACCTGCGTTCCTGTTGTAGCTGCCTCTTGTTCAGGGTAGCCTTAGATTTATAAAAGCTCTGTTTATGTATTATTCAAACAGACTATGTATTTATTTCATTTCCGCTTTGTATACTCTATTCTTAGAAGCTCATGATTTGTACTACCAGTTCTTGGGGATTGTACAAGATTAAGACCTTTATTCATTTAAATTGCTTTAATAATTATTATTGAAATTGTATAGTTGGTAATTGGCTTACCTAACGGGTTAGGTTAGGTGCCATCACGACTAGTTGGATTTTGGGTCGTGACAAAATATAACCTGCTGTCAATATCCAAATTGACTAGACAGTTAAGATGTTTCATGGCGTTCTATCCTGATTTCTGTCTACTGCAGAACCTTCACACTGGAAAGGTGAAGGGGACTGGTAGATACATGGAGAACTGTACTACTGGGATCATAGTATCAGTACTAGACTTCAACCATCAATAGCTCTAAGCTTGGCATCACAGGAGGACTTGTGGCAGAAAAGATTAGGGCGTGTGCCCCATAAAATTCTACAACAAATGCAGCTGTGTAAATATGACTAAAGAAATAATGACAAAGACACTACTTGCTCAATTTGTCCATTGGCTAAACAAACCAGGTTTCCATTTCCTCAGAGTACTAGTAGATCAACTAGAGTTTTTGACTTAGTTCATGGTGATGTTTAGGGACCATATAAGGTTCTTACTCATGATGGTAATATATATTTTCTCACGTTAGTTGATGATTGTAGTAGAATGGTTTGGATATTTCTGTTGAAGCTTAAGAGTGATGTGACAGTTGTTTTGAAAGAGTTTATGACCATTGTAAATACTCAATTTGACAATCGAATAAAGATGTTCAGAAGTGACAATGGTTCAAAAATATTTAATTCATATTGTAAGGAATTATTCAGTGTTGCAGGAATTGTGCATTATAGTTCATGTGTCTACACATCCTAAAAAAAATAGGGTGGTAGAAAGGAAACATAGGCAGCTTCTAGAAGTAGCCAGAGCAATTAGGTTTCAAGGGTCCATTCTTTTGAAATTTTGGGGAATCTGTGTTTAGAATGTTGCATACTTAATTAACAGGATACCTTCTACTGCATTAGCAAGGAAGTTGCCTTTTGAGAAGTTTTATGGGAGGAGTCCAAACCTTCATCATCTTAGAGTGCTTGGTAGTCTGTGTTATGCAACTAATGTTGCAAACATGAATGATAAGTTTGGTGCGAGGGCAATAGTTGCTGTGCATATGGGATATTCTACCACACAGAAGGGATACATACTCTACAATCTTGCTGATAGAAATTTCTTTGTAAGCAGGGTTGTGTCCTTTAAAGAGAACATTTTTTCTTTCAAGTCTGCACAGTCTCAAGTCTACACACAATGTCACACTCTAGGTGATATTGCACTACATGATCCTTTTATCATGGCTGATATAGAAGGTAGTGAGGCCATAGACCAAGCTGCTCCAGCAAGTCCTACACCAGTTCCTGTAACACCAGCTTCTGCTACTTTTAGTTCTCCAAATGCAGGGGTTGCTGATCCTGTGGCAAGCACATATGATACACCTTGTGATGCTCCAGTCACACCTATACACATACCTACTGTTGAAACACCAACACCACCCATTCATACAGAGTCCACCAATACTTAGACTCTATCTTTTGAAGGTCTTGATCAAACCTCAAAAGTACTAATTGTACCTAGGAAGTCAGCTAGAACTACAGAAGTCCTTGTATAGCCTCAAGGAGGCAATGGAGTCTGAAGCTCAGTGAAATTCTTATCTCATCTGGTTTTGTCCAAAGTCACCATGATTATTTCACTTTCACAAGGAGATCTGGTAGTGATTTAATGATTATTTTGGTCTATGTTGATGACCTCTTGATCACAGGCTCTTCCTCTTCCCTGGTTCAGGAGGCTAAATTTATGCTACAACAGCATTTCAAGATCAATGACTTGGGGGAGATGAGATACTTTTTTGGTCTTGAAATTGCTCGCAGTCAGCAAGGGATACTAGTCTGTCAAAGGAAGTTCACATTGGACCTCATTACAGTCTTAGTCCTTGGTGGATCAAAGCCTTCCAGTACACCTTTAGAGGTTAATCAAAGACTTGCCAGTGTAGAGTTTGATCAAGGGTGATCTTGTGAAGGCAATGGTGATGATCTTTTGTCTAATCCTACAGGATATCAAACACTGGTAGGGAAGCTGCTTTACCTTAACATGACTAGGCCAAATATTAGCTATACAGTCCAGACTGTGAGCCAGTTCATGCATAGGCCCAAAAGATCACACATGGAAGGTGCATTGAGAGTAGTGAGGTACTTGAAGAATGCACCAGGTTTGGGCATATTGATGTCTTCTAAACCTCCCAAGCAGTTAACAATGTATTGTGATGCAGACTGGGCTACATGTCCTATGACAAGAAGATCAGTGAGTGATTTTGTGATGAAGTTTGGAGAATCCCTAATCTCCTGGAAGTCAAAGAAGCAGAGCACAGTATCGAGAAGTCAGCTGAAGCTGAGTATAGAATCATGGCAAAT